GTGAAAAAATGAGTACTTTTTGTGAGTTTTCATTAATCAAATTAATTTCATTTCATTAATTAAAGAGTTGTTATACTTTTTTTAGAGAAGGGAGAATGGAAATGCTGTCACGATTCCAGTATTTGATTCTATTAGACAACCATAGCTACCGTTATATAGTTGTGTTCGATAATGATTCTGATTCTAAAGATGATGATGAGTATGAACCTAAAATATAACTGTCCTACTTTTTTTTTGTGTCTGTACAGTAGCCAATCATTCCTAATTAAAAAGTGATTCGAAATTATAAACAGTGTACAAAGTATGTAAAAAGAACAAACGCTCTATTCCAAATTGAGACCGCTTTTTCTACTATAAAATTTTCATTTCCAAATTGAGACTATTTTTTAAATCTAATTAATAATCATCAAAAAAAAGTGGTCTCAGTCATGTAGTAGCCCAAATGACTTTTGAACAGAAATGAATAATCATAATTTTCTTTATTCTTGTCAAGCTAATTGTAGCATAATGTTTTTACATCGTTCTGTGCAGTTAACAACTCACGACAGTAATACAGTTATGAAATTTAGCTTGTTATAACAAGCTATTAAATAATAAGCTAAATTACAAAATTACAACTTTCACAGCATCAATGAGATATCGTACTAATGAGGTTTGTCTGAATTGTGGAAGTACTCCGTACAGAAGTCTTTGAGCGGTGAGTACTAAAAACACATTTTTGCATTTTTCAGAAAAATTTTGTTAAACTTATATAAAATGGCTCATAAATGCAGATTATATACAATCTCGACATTAAATGTGAAATATGCAGGAACAGAGAGCAACCAGACTTTTATTTTTAGAAAACAAAGTATTGAATTTTATTTTTTTTTACTTAAGATTCAGCAAATTATGTTCATACATTTACGTATGGTTACGGTGATAAGGTAATACCAGGTCACACATGGTTTTTCCAAACACCTGAATACAACATCTATGCCACTGTCAGTGGGGATGGGAAGTGTATACCATTTACTGAAACTGTTATTATCGGAACACCAAGTATGTGTATATTATTTGATGATAAGAAGAAAGTATGCATTATGTTTTTATTCTAGTGCCAATGATAAGCACAATGACATATACCGATTTCATGCCTGGTATCAAAGATCCAAGTGTGTTCGTTATTCCAGAAATTTGTAAAAGTCTATAAAAATAGAATAATAGAAAAAGTGTAACCAATATTGTAACATTTGAATGCATACAGTATTAACTCTTAATAAATAGATATTGGAGTGATTTTCACTGACAATTTACCGTTGTCTTCCGGCATATAATCAAGGATATTTCAGATTTCGTTCAATTAATTTGAATAATATGTTTGAACAAGTAGGCAGTTTGTGCATAGATAATGTTTCTCACGTTGATGTTTCGAGTGCAATAGACAATGATATAAATGATAAAATAATCACATATTCACCCGATTCAGATGTTTAATATGTTACTGTATCTTGACAAAAAGCTCACACATAAGTAATAAGTATATAATAGTGTATCTCACTATACGTATTACAAGTTAAAGAATAAATACTCTTTACAATAGGCGACTTGCAAACAGTTAATTTTGCTTCTATATCTCCTCACTCTTTTAGCTGATATTTTAGACGCGACAAAAAACTGGTAAGGGTTTTTTATTTTTGATAAAAATACCGGCCGGTTTTCATTTTGCATCTGTCACGAACGCTTTTTAGTTTTTGGGATATCAAAAACGGA